TTTTTTTTTTTGGCGTGATGATCTTATGGTGGTAATATTTGTTTATTATTATGAAAATATTACATGATGAATGGATGTCAAATTAATATATGATGTGGCAATTAATATTTAATTGTTTATAAAATTGATTCAATTTTTATAGGTATTTACGCATGCATAATTGTAGCTTTTAAAAGTGTCAATGAAAAAAATATATAAGTGGCATTTTGTAGTAGTGATAGTAGCTTTGCAAAGTGTCACTAAAATAAGTTCCAATGGCACTTATATCTATTTAATGGCACAAATGAATTGGATTTAGTGGCATTTATGAAGGTGTTATAAATATCAATTGGGGCATAATAAGCGTCATTAAAAATCTATATCGTGGCATTTTTTAGATTGCAAGTCTTCTTTAATGGCACTTAATAGCGTCACGAATAGTGCCTACCATAACATTAAAGTGTCACTGAAAGGTTTTAGTCTTGATGGTGTAATGACACTTATAAGTGTCACTAACTCTTTTTTTAATGGCGCTTGATAGTGCCATAAATAATATCTACCATGACATTAAAATGTCATTAAATGTTTTTAGTCATGATGGTACAGTGACACTTGCAAGTATCTACCGTGGCACGGATACAAATGGCACTTGTTCAAAATGCCACAAGACTAAAAAATGTCATTAAACCAATAGTTTTGTGGCACTTTCAAATGTTACTAAACTAAGAAAATGTTGTAGTTAAAAGTGGCTTTTGTTAGTAGTTGTTTGGCTAAAATGAGGTGAAAAAAGCTAAAATATTTAAGAATGACTTTTTAATTTTTTATGAAAAAATATTTTAAAAAATACAGAGAATGATAAGTAACCTTTGATATTTTTATACGATTTTTAAATTTTTTTAATAATCTTTTAACTTTTTACTTAATTTAGCCCATTACTAAATGATTCTTAAATGCCAAATGAATATCGAATATAATAATAATATCACTCAATGTTATCACTAATCCATAGTAATAATTTTGATTTGCACTCACTGTTACGTGTTTAATATTTTTTTCTTGAATGTCAACTAGCTCTCATCAAACGGACATAATAGAATGCCAATCCCCGGCTGCGTTCTACTACCAATTCTTCCTCACCAAACTGGTCCCACCCTTGCAATTTTTTAATTATTATTATTATTATTATTTTGCATATTAATTCTATACTTAGGGGTCGTTTGGTAAACATTTTGGACTAAAACATCACAAAAAGACAAAAAAAAGTCAAAAAATCACAATAGGTGGGGTCATAATTAAGGGGCATGAATGAATAAGGGGCACGAATTAATACATTAATTAATGTACTAAGGGATGATATAACATAATTTTAGAGATTTTGAATCTTTGTAATTTGTATAATAAGTGGGGGTCATAATTTTAAAATAGTAATATCGTAATATATATTGGTACACTAATTGCTATACCAATTAATACATATAACACTTAAAAGTATTACAAAAAATCTATAAAGACAAGTTGAACGTAATACTTTTAAATTTATGAGTTATAATAGTGGGGTAACAAAAGATCATATATAGTGAAATATCATACAAAAACTATCACTACAAAAAAATTGACTTTTTGCGACGGTAAAATACCGTCGCTAATACTACTAATGCCGTCGCTAATACTTTTTGCGACGGCACTGTGCAGTCGCTAATAACGTTTGAAATTTCTTGACTTTTTTGCAACGGCACTATTTTACCGTCGCTAAAAATGTTATTTGAGACGGTAAAAAATACCGTTGCTAATAGTCTTTTTTTGCAACGGCAAAAACGCTGTTTTTGCGACGGTGTGGTGCCGTCGCAAAAAGTATTAAAAATATGAAAATTTTATTTTTTGCGATAGTGTAATGCCATCGCAAAAAGTATTAAAAAATAATAAAATTTCTATTTGAAATAATAAATTTTCTATTTTTTGCGACAGTATAATGCCGTCGCAAAAAGTAAAATCTGTAACAAAATTAATAAAAATATTAAAATTTTCTATTTTTTGCGACAGTGTAATGCCATCGCAAAAAAGAAAAAAAACATCCTATGATAAAAATATTAAAAATATTAAAATTTCTCCATAATAATATAAAAATAACAATTTCTTCATAATAAAATATTTTTCCATTCATATAATTACACATCAACAAAATTATCCCACTACATAATGTTCCATAATACATATATAATGTTTAAATACATGATTTTATTCATAATTCAAAATAACATAAACCAAATTTCATTACTAAAATAATAAAACAAATTGCATTTAAATTCTCACTTTCATAAATAAAATTGAGGTCTAGACAGGATGAACCATTTACTTTGGGACCCATATTTTACATGCTGAGTATTCAAGTCATTGTGAAGGCATTATGACACACAAACCCTCCTTGCCTAACTGTCACCCCCTGCCCGGCCATTGCACTGCAAAATTGTGGGTCTCCATGCCAAAAAACGCTTCAAGGACACCTAGAATATGAAAGGCAATTTGATCAGCATAGAAGTAGAACTTTCAATGGAGCAACAAAAACGTAGAGTACAAAATGGATTATGAAATTTTAAATATCATTGCTGTTTGATACTTAACTTAGTAGAAAGAAAGACTCTGGTCATACTCCAATTCCTAAAGTGTCACTTTCAAGTAGCAAGTGTTAAGCATACCTCTGCATGCAAAATATATCTAATGAAAAATATCATTTTGATATGCTTAGAGCATGTTTAAACAGAAATAGAAATTATAATGACATGGTTTTTTCCCCTTTAACTGACTCTAGAATATAAACAGAGCATGATTTTAAATATCGGCCGTTATGTATCATATCATTTTCTCAACCTTCAAACAACTTGTCACTAACAATCTTTGACTTCCAATACCATTATTTATTGATATATCAACCAATACTGCCTGATATATAACCGTGTCCCCAATAACGACACAGATTTTTACAATCATGGAGCAGAGTGTATCATTTTCTCAATTTTCAAGAAATGTGTCACTAACAATCTTTTTTGAGGCTATAAATAAAGTTTTTTTTTTCAAGATAAATAATGTTTCTGAAAGTCTGTTTGAGGTTGGCAATGATGTGTTTTCGTCACGAAGGGACATCCACACAAAAATGTTACATAGCCATAAACCGTAATATGAACCTGAATGCCAAACGTTGTTTTATGCCTCTAGATGTGTTAAATAAAATGTAAATCCAATCATTCTTTATTACCTTTAAAGGGAGTCTTCTCTCTCTTCCTGATGGGTTTATCAAACCCTTCTTCTTTAATGACGCCAGTGATACCTCTTCACCTTCTTGGAATCCTGAGGCTTCAATGTCTTTTAAGTTTACTGGGACGAACTTTGGTAAACCGGCATACATACCTTACAACATCAGGAAAAGAAAAGAAATTCATATATTTGTAGAATATGTAACACGGCACATTATATGCACTAGAAGAGCTGATCAGGAAATAACCCAATTACCAAATTTCTATGGAAAGTCTATTTGAAAAAAGCCTCTTAAGGATGACCATGTATCGCAAAGATATTGAATTGGAAAGAACTTCATTGGATATATGTTATAATACATTGCAACAACATTGTTAACTAAACATTACACAAAAAAAAAAAAAGAAAAAAAGAAAAAAAAAGGGGGTCCAGCTTTACCTCTCTTAGCAGGTGTGGAATGCTTTGGATTCATTCAACTATTAAATATTCACAGCATGCCGTAGTATTAGTGAATTATTCTGATTCATTACATTTCATTCCCAGTTTCCATATTTATTGCAAAAAGTACCAGGGATCCTATGTGTTCCGCCCACCACCAGCCCTTAACATGGATCAACATCACAAATCCTAGACCAGCTACGAGCATGTTCTCAGTGTCCCATTTCTTTTACCACTACTACATTTGGGATGTGACGTAGTTGGTCAGAGGTTAAAATAACAACAATCAATGGTGGACCAGAAAAAACATACATCAAGACTGAAAGTATGCAAAAGTCAGGTTTTACATTGATTTTTGCAAAATCTAGAAAGTAAGGCTCGAAGTCCATGAGCTATTGAGCGTAAAACTCAAGCCTTGAAAAGTGGGGGGAAAAAAAAAGCTACAATAAAATATCAAAATCTGAAATTTCAATTCATCCAAAAAGTGTTTTAAAACAAGGATTGCAACCCTATATACAGATAGCTGAAGGGATTACTTAAAAAACTACAAAATAACAAGATGACAAATGACATACATCCACTCAATAACAAGCTCACTACACATGGCCTGGATGCAACAATTCAATGACAAGCAAGTGACACATAGCTTTACATGCAACAATCTATCGATATGTGTCCTACATGCAACCACTACCATCAAAAAGTCAGTGACAAACTAACATGAAACCACCTCAATGACAAATGACAAGCTGGTCAAAAGTAGCTCAAATTCACCCACCTCCAATGGAGGTTTCCTTACAATTAAGAAACTAACAAAAATATTCAATCATACAACTTAATTCAAGAAAATCCAGCTTATTAAAATCTTTTCTTAAAGGTTGATTGTGTGACTTTTGTTCTCAAGAGGTGGTCATCTTGATTGCATTAGGATATGCAAATAGTTTGACTTTTGTGTCTTAAAAACACTATTACAAATGATATAGCTCATTTGACTCCTGTCATTTCCAAACAAAGACCAACAAGGTTCATTTGACTTCATAATTGCCACCACCAGCAATCATCCTGGGTAAGAGTTATATATGAATGTTCTGTTTGTAAAAGCATCTTCCAAAATTGTTACCCCCTACATTTGTATATATGAAGTTCACATACTTGTCAGTAAGTCATCAAGAGTATGGTCATAGACTCATAACCAATAAGAAAAAGACTTAGCTGCCTGTAATTCATGAGAAATGTAGAACTTAATAGCCACAAGCAGAACCAAAAAAAAAAACACACTAGTTCAGGTGAAACCTAGAAATCCAAGGCTTCACTATTTTGGCAATCATAGCAAGTGGTGGCAAGGAAATGTTGCACAATGAGCAAAATAAATCAAACACATTGTGTCTCCACAGAATTGGTCACCTTGTTTCTAGATCAATTGCTTCACCAGTAATATTCTCATTTCATACTTGCAACAACGCCCTACTCCTTTAGATGACCACACAAATATCATTTCCTATCATCTTTACACTTGTAGAAATCTGCAAAAAATTTGAAGAAGGTGAAGAATCAACCCATCAATTTCATGATGTATATATATGTATGTATATATATATGTGTGTGTGTATGTGTGTTGGGAAAACGAAATTGATAGATCTACCATATTTAAGCTAAAGATCTCTGTTATAGATATACCAAATACATCGATTTCGTCTTCGATTTTCTCACATATATACGAAATTGATAGATCTACCATATATACCAAATATGCCTACTACCACTCATCACATACCCAAGGCTCTCAAATTTCTGAATCTCCTCAGCTGAAAGACCGACTTCACCTCTACGTGGGATACGCTTTCCTTGTTGAACGTACTAAGCAATGGCATCACCTTCACCAGGCCTGAGTGCCCCTTCATAGCTAATATGTCCTTCAGCCCTAGGCAATGGCATTGGTCACTCAACTCATCCGATTCACTATCACCGACTGATTCCGATTTCCTACTTCTACGCCTAGAACTCCTGCTCTTCCTCTTCCTCCTTGGCCGTGAATCATCCGAATCAGCATCTGAAACAAATTGAGACGGAGAGAGAGAGAGAGAGAGACGAAAGAAGAGATTAGGGATTTTGAGATTGGGGATTTTGGGTTTGGGGGTGGGGGGATCCCGAGCGGGAATGGAAAAGAGGGGAGGGGGAATGGAATTTTTTTGGAATTTTTTTTTATTTTCATTACAAATGAATATTTAAATAATAAATCGATTTTTTTTTCGCAACGGAGGATGCCATTGCCAAAAAAAAAAATTTTTTATTAAAATTATTTTTTTTATAGTTAATGAATTTTTTTTTCATGTAGTAAGGTTGAAAATTTATTTGTTTCATATTTATTTTAATGAATAAATTTTTTTTTTTAATTTGGTAGAAGTAGGGATAATATTTTCTATTAAAATAAAGTTAATTTTTTGTAGTCAATAAAAAATATTTTTTTGTGACCCATTTTTTTTTTTTTTTTTTAGAGGTGATAGTGGTGGTGGTAGTGATGGTGAATGAGATAAGTGGTGAAGTTGTGGTAGTGGTAGAGGAGATAGAGTAGCGGTGGTGGAGGAGAGGGAATGGTAGTAGTAGTTGTGGTAGTGGAGTGGTAGCGATGGTGGTAGTAATGATAGTTGTAGAGGTGGAGTGACAACAGTGGTAGTAGTGGAATGGCATTTGCAGTTGTGGTGAATGTGGTAGAGAAGATGGGTGGTGAGAAAGAGATGAGTGAGAGACAGATAGAGAAGAGAGATAGAGAGAGAGAGAGAGAGACAGATAGACAGACAGATAGAGACAAAGTGATGAGTAAGAGAGAGACAAAGTGGTCGCTAAAAGTGCATTTTCTTGTTGTGGAGAGCTCGGTAAATAGAGAAGAGATGAGGGAGAGAGTGAGCAATGTGAACATAATGGGGGAGAGAGACAAACAGACAGACAGACACATAGAGAGAAAGAGAGAGATAAAGAGAGAAAGAGATATAGAGAGAAAGAGAGAGAAAGAGACATAGAAAAATAGAGAGAAACAAGAGATGAGAGACACATATAGAAAGAGAGCGAAAAGAGATGAACGAGAGAGAGAATAGAAAAATAAAGAGATAGAGAGAAGAGAGATGAGCGAGAGAGACATAGAGAGAGAAAAAGAGAGATGGGTGAGAGAGACAGAGAGAGAAAAGAGATGAGAGAGATAGAGAGAAGAGAGATGAGCGAGAGAGACAGAGAGAGAAGACAAATGAGAGAGATAGAGAGAAGAAAGATGAACGAAAGACACACAGACAGACAGACAAACAGACAGATAGACAAACAGACAGAAAAAGAAGAGTGATGAGTGAAAGAGAGAAAGAGAAGAGTGGTGGTAGTTAAATGGCATTTGCAGTAGTGGTAAATGTAGTAGAGAAGATGGGTGGTGAGAAAGAGAGATGAGTGAGAGATGAATAGAGAAAAGAGATAGAGAGACAGAGAAAGAGACAGAATGATGAGCAAGAAAGAGACAAAGTGGTCGCTAAAAATGCATTTTCTTGTAGTGGATCGATAAATCGAAAGGGAGCTCAATAAATAAAGAAGACAGATAATTCAAAACTCTTTTCAAAACTTAATTCAAATCAATTTTTTAAATATTTTAAAAATATTTTAATTTTGTGAGAGACAGATCAAGTCTCCAACTTGCCCACAGAGGGGAGGAGGGAAGCGAGCAACTTCATCTTCGATTCGTTCTTAGGGCCAGAGTTAGGGTAGAGGCCAACCACTCACTTGTTATCAGTGTGGGCAGGTGGGGCACTTAAAGAGGTTTTGCCCGTAGTTGGGTGGCACACCTGGTGTGTCTATTTTGAGGCAGACATCGAGTCACCAGCCAGGGCAGTCAGTACAGGCCTCGAGGGCCAATTAGGGAGCTTCTTCGGCTTAGTCAGTGCAGCGGTCTTATGCTTCGATGGGTGAGCAGGTAGATCAGAGACCTACGGGGTGCGTGTATGCTGTTACCATGCCAGATCTTATTCCGGCTCCATTTGTTGTGAGAGGTACCTTTTTGTTTTGCAACTCGGTTGCTAATGTGTTGATTGATATGGGTGCATCCCATTTATTTATTTCATATGCATTTGTATCTATTTTAGGGTTAGAGTAAGCGCAGTTAGCATCTCCTATTTGTGTTGTGTCACCTGTTGGGGGTGAGATGGTTTCGAAACAAGGGTGTTGGGGCTGTGATATAGAGGTCACTGGTCGCCGGCTTCCTTTTTCTTTTGTATTGATGGACAGGTCTGGTTTTGATGTTATTTTGGGTATGAACTGGTTATCGTCATACCGAGCTGTTATAGATTGTTACCGTTAGAGGGTTACTGTATGTACCTTGAGCGGTGATTGTTTTCATTTCTTGGGGGACCAGGTGGATAGAGTTTTATCACCGGTGTATGATCCGTGCGGGCAGAGCGAGCTTAGTTGTCTTATCACTAGCTTTATGAGTAATGAATTGATAAGGACCGGGTTGAGTTGCCAAGAGTGGTTTGTGAGTATTCGGATGTCTTTTCTGAGGATCTTACTAGTTTACCACCTTACCGAGAGATCGAGTTCTTTATTGATTTAGTGCCTGACACAGCACCAATTTCTATGGCACCATATCAGTTTGTGCCAGCTGAGTTGAGTGAGTTGAAGATTCAACTCTAGGAATTACTAGATAAGGGCTTTATTCGTCCTAGTACTTCGCCTTGGAGAGCACCGGCCTTCTTTGTTAAAAAGAAAGATGGGGCCTGGAGACTTTGTATCGATTGCCGAAAGTTGAACTAGGTTACAGTTAAGAACAAGTGTCTTATGCCTCGTATAGATGACCTGTTCGATCAGTTGAAAGGGTCTCGCTATTTCTCTAAGATAGACTTGAGATCGGGCTACCATCAATTGAGGGTCAAGGAGGAGGATATCCCGAAGATGGCATTCTGTACGCGGTATGGCCATTATGAGTTTCTGGTGATGCCTTTTGGGCTAACCAATGCCCCAACGGTGTTTATGGACTTGATGAACCGAATCCTCCGAGAGTTCTTAGATCGTTTTGTGGTC